TCAAAAATTTTTGCTTCCAAGTATTCTCGTGTTATTAATTTTTAGCTAAAGCAAGATTATGCAAGTGACTGTGTTTGCTGTATTTGAATCCGTGAACCACTTGTAGTAGTAGGTTGATCCTCATTCAAGGGTTTGACAAATTTCTCCTTTGAAATGTCTAATTTTCGAACAAGCTCCTTCCTATTTGTATCATCATCATCATCATTAAAGTAAGAATCCAAAACAGAATTGTCTTCTTCCTCTTCGTCAGTTTGAAAGTAGATGGCAATCTGTTCCCTAATAAAACCGATCCAATAAATTGATGCGGAGTTCTTGACATCAAACATGTTTTTGCGGTAAAAGTTTCTGAATTCTTTTTCAATGAGAATTGGTTGAAATTTGTTTGCCGGACAGAAGAAGAGGAAAGTGGAAGAACTACAGAGTCAAATAAAAAAAAATTTTTTTTTTTTTGTGGGTGGACAGAGGGGGTGGGGGGGAGGGGGGCGGGGGGCGGGAATAGACGAAAAATTTGTGTTCAAGGGAAAGAAAGAAATAGATTAGAAGAAAATGAGGAGTGAAGAAGTAAGGAGAGAGTGGAGGGAAAATAGCAGAAGTAATCTGAAGATTGAGGTGCTCTTTTACCACTTTATTTGGACTTTGTAGAGAATAATCCTGACTAGATGCATGCAATCAAACAAGTCTTTACTTACAAATGGGTCCTAACACATTTCTTGTCTTTCTTTTGTATCAATCTTAGGAGAAGATGGAGTTCACAAGTAAACTTGAGCAATACAAGGAGGGTCTCAAACGCCTTTCTGATGAACTAGATAAACTGAAGCATGCTGAAGCCAGTCTGCCAGAGGTGAATTTCTATGTTCATGAACGAGAGTTTGATCCTTTTTTTTTTTTTTCTTTTTTAAATAGTTGTTGAATTTATACAACATGATCTTCCGATTCCTGCTCTCATGCTTTACTTGAATGAATATTATGAAATGCAACTAATATACTACCATTACTCCTAATGGATAATAATGAGAACACACATTCTTAGGCCTAGTGCGCAATTGCTATTGTTAGTAGCATATTTTGGCCAAAATTAGGAGTTGTTGGCCCATTGTATGTTGCTTAACTATATGGTATTCTATGAGTGCAGTTTGAATTTGGAAAAAGATTTAACTGATTAATTAGATATTCTGTCAGTATTGGTTTATGTTGAAAGAATATTTCGAATTTCTTTTTATTATGTGTTATATTTTCAATCTCTACACCACTATATATATACACAAGATTGTTCCAATATAGGAAGAAATCTAAATAGGAATAAACCTAAATTAGAACCTAAATTAGGAAAGACAATAAACCTAAAACTAAGAAAGAAATATTGACTTTAATACAAAGATTCAACACTTCCCCTCTAATGGTGCATAGATATTTTATCAGGCCCATCTTGCAAACCAAAGGATGAAACAGTTCTATTCAAACTCCTTTTGTGAAAAAACATCGGCTAGTTGCTCTTTTGAAGCTATAATATGGTAAACAATTTATAAGGCCTTCAAGCATCTTCTCTTTATAAAGGACGATCAATCTCTATGTGCTTAGTTCGATCATAGCCGGACTGATCATCATAATAAACTGATAGTGCTTTACTTCACAAAAAAAGGATATATTGTTGTTTCAACACACCCAAACTTAACTCTTCCCATTAATCTGCCACCCATAAGGAAGTTCACAATATCCCTTGGTGCCATGGAGGCCTCTATATTTCCTGCTTCTGCATCTGGAACCTGCATACAACAGCTGCTTCTTGCTTTCTCCATGCGCACAAGTTCTCCAACAAAAACACAACAATATCCTGAGGTGATCTGTCCTATCATCAGAGAACCAAGCCCAATCGCATCTGGTTTACCTGTTATTGGGTTCAACATGCCATGAAATGGCCATGTTTAGAAAATAAAAGTCCTCTACCAGGAGCTGATTTTAAATATCTTAGAATCCGATGCACTGCTTCTAAGTGAGACTCCCGAGGGCCATGCATGTACTGACTCACTAAACTTACAGCATAGGCAATATCTGGTCTAGTATGGGGAAGGTAAATCAACCTCCCGACCAATCTCTGATACCTGCCAACATCAACTGAACTTCCCACTCCAGCTTGAAGCTTATGATTGGCTTCAATCGGTGATTCTGCGGGTTTACATCCCAACATACCAGTTTCTTTAAGGAGATCAAGGATGTACTTTCTTTGAGAAATAAAAATCCCTTTTTCTGATCTAGCCTTTTTCTGATCTAGCAACTTCTATCCCGAGGAAATATCTCAACTTTCCCAAATCCTTAATCTCAAACTCCCTAGCTAAGAAACTTCTCAAGTGAGTCATTTCTTCTTCATTATTTCTAGTCATCACTATATCATCAACATAAATAATAAGCAATATGATCTTACCTTCATGATGTTTAATGAACAAACTATGATCAACATTGCTCTGAATGTACCCAAAAGAAAGCATAACTTTACTAAACCTTTCAACCCATGCTCATAGTGATTACTTCAACCCATATAATGACTTCTTCAGGTTGCAAACTTTTCCTCTGGTCTTGTCATCATCAAATCCTGGAGAAATCTCCATATACACCTCTTCTTTCAAATCACCATGTAGAAAAGTGTTTTTAAAATCAAATTAATGTAACTTCTAGTCAAGATTGGCTGCACAAGATAATAAAATTCTAATTACATTCATCTTGATACAGGGGTAAATGTTTCATGGTAATCAACTCCATAGGTCTGACTAAATCCTGTGGCTACCAATCTAACCTTGTACCTCTCAATTGAACCATCTGTCCTATGTTTAATTATGAACACCTATTTACATCCAACTGGCTTCTTTCGTAGTGGAGGAATTACAAGATCCCATGTCTCCTTTCCTGATGGAGGAGTTAGCATAGATCCCAATCGTCCGTTTTTTGCCAAAGCTCTCATCCCTCCAACCATTTGCAGAACAGCCTTCCCATTTTTGAGTCCTGGTTAATGCCTCTTGCCAATCCTTGCGGTATAGAAAAACGAAGAAACCATGACAAACCCAAAGGCTCTATAGGCAGGGACAGAGCATTATGGGAGATGAAATGGGAGATTGGGATTGTTGAGTGCATGGTTCTACTCCTTTTCTAAAGAAGCAATCGTGAAATATCAAGGTCATGGTCAAAAGTGGGCTGAAATCCCAGATCTAGGCATCAAAAATCCATCAGTGAATTAAAAAGAAGACCACCAATTCTTTTTCGGCTGTATTCAGATCCTGAAAATTGGAGTAGACGGTTGATCAGAGGTCTCATGCTCCCATGGTTTGATCTGTAAATTCCGTTGTGTGTAGGTTTTTCAAAACAAATCAGGTCTATCCAATCTTTCTATGAAGGTTTTGGGTTTTCTCGTCCTACTATCTCTAGTCTACAGCGGTAAACTCCCCCCTGGAAAGGAACGTCATTCACTTCACTCTCCATTTGAATATTTCTCCCTCGCGAAGAGGTGATTGGGAAGGAAATAAGATCTCAATGTCCCGAAAGTACATCCATAACTCACAAAATATTTCTGAAGGAGGATTGGATAACACTTTATTCCTTTTTTGAGTCGCAGAGTATACCAAACAAACCACACACTTCAAGGCCTAAGATCAATTGCCTTAGACCATTCTGATGAACAAAACAACACAACCAAAGACTTTAGGAGTACAATATAAAGAATTTTTTCTTTGAAGAACCTCTAATGAGTTTAAAATTACATACGAAGAGCACGACGATTGGATAAGGTAAGCAAGCAGTTCAAAATAGCATCCCCCAATATGGTTGGAAGATCATAGTGAAACATAAGAAGACTTACTACTTCCAGTAAATGCATTTTTTTTCCTTTCTGCACTCCATTTTGGAGCACTAAAGTATTGGACACAACTGTTGATGTATAATGCTCATTAGAATCTAAATAGGTACGAAAAACTGCATTCAGTATCCAGTACCATTATCAGTTCTTAGGATTTAACATTGCGCATCAAACGGATAAAATCATTCTATGGAAGTTCTGAAAACACGAAAAAACTTCATCATTTTTTGTTTCATCAAATAAACCCCAATTAATACTAGTACATACAATCAATAAAGGTCACAAACCATCTATAACAGAAAGAGAGACAAGTTTTAGTAGGACCCATACATCAAGAAATAATAGTAGCAAAAGAATCACCGCTTTTATTATTAATTTCAGAATAAGAAGAAAATGCCCTGGGTGTTTGGCAAGTCACAAGCATCACATACAAATGAATCGAAAATCACACTAGCCAATATAAACAGTGGAAATAAACGTCCCTAAAACAGAAAAAAAGGCATGTCCCTAATCTCCTAACCATTGGAATAACTCATGGGAAGGATTCTAGAAGTTCTAACAAAGCTTGACTGGTACCTCCGAATTTGAAAAAACGACAAACATCATCCAACAAATACAGCCATAGTGCAACTACCACTGCCATCGTCCTCCCGTGTTAGTTCCTGAAATTACAATGATAGGCCCGTAAAAAGTACTTTGCAATTAAGCGCTTTGTGATAAGCTAACAGATACAATTAATAGGGAATCTTAGCGACAATAAGAAACAGAGGAGAGTTTAATATTGGAAGTACAGTAATAAACCTGTGCCAGCAATGGGTACTAAGGAGCCAATCCGAAAATGCGAAATTTTTCTGTGCCTGATACTTTAGAAATAGAAAGTTATTAGAGCCTGTTGTATGTTTATTGCTCCTGATCTATAACCCAGAGGGTTTTGCAATTTTTGCAAAGAAAAGTAAGAAAAGCATTACCTCGAATAACAAAATTAAGAAAGCTGTAAGTCTAGTTAGAGAATCAAGCTGTGACATAACAACTGTTTCAGAACTGAATTTCCTTACAGAAAAGCTATCAGTTATAAGATGGTTTCGCCCTCACATAAAGCTCACTATCAAATGTCGCTCAAGTCGAGAAGAACTGACCCGCTTTCCCCTCCACGCCCTTTAGTTTGGCGTGTTCCATGTAATTTCCAGCAGAACTCTTAGTGGTGATGTTCTAACCATACATAAGTCACAAAATAATTATCCTGTCTGAAGAGAGCCCTCTGGCCAAGTTTTATATGTTTACTTCAGAAATAGCAATCAACTCCCTGCTTATCAATTTATCTGGAACCATCTGCATTCCTCCAAGTCTCTCATACTGTTAACAAGAATATGCCTTGTCGCAGGATGGAAAGGATCTTGGTCCAAGAACTGGACTCGAATCTTGATCATACTTGTTGTATAGGCCAGCCAGAAAATCATACACACGTTCTATCTCATCAACCTCTGACTTGATCGCACATCAGTACATTTGGCTTGAAAGTCTTGAAAATCCTAGTTCTTGCCATAGACCCAAAGTTCAGCAAAAAATACTGAGCGACTAGTCAGATCTCCTATTTGTTTCACATGAACTTCTGTCACAATTCATACCTTCTGAGCAGGTTTTCCAGGGTTTGCGAAATACGGCGTGTGACGCATCCGCAATCTTCTTAGTTGTATCAAAGAAGCAAATAGCTTCGGAAATATTTGCTGCACGGAATTTTATTAACCAAGACAATAAAAGAAATCTTCCTCGGATTTCCATTGTTAAAGCCTGATCTGTCCGAAACTGGTTTAGTTGCGCCACCATCATGTATCCTGCAAACCTCTTGCTTCAATGAATGATAAGGCCAAGATCGAGATCCAAGCAGGTAGTTTGTCCATCTAACTCTAACCGGACTAACTGGAAGAGAGGGCTCCTAGTGAAACCCATATCTTAACTTTTTTTCCATCACCATATGAAAAAAATTTTAAGCGGCAGTGGCAAAGAATGGCAGAAATAAACCAAAAAAAGAAAAAATTGCAAAAAAGCAAAACTGGTGCTGAAGAACCAGCAAGGGAAGAACGCCACAACAAATCGAGGCCGCCGAAACAAGAAACGTCGACGGAGCTCGCCGGAAATAGCCGCACGCCCAGGCGCGTGAAGAACGGTCGAAAACTTCTGGCTGCGCCTGTGCACACGCGCGTGGTCGGACGGCGACGCGGCTTGGACGGAGGGCCGATCGGCGGTCCCTCTTCCTTCTGAGCTGGGCGGTGACGGCCAACTCCTAACTCCGGCGGCACTGTGTGTATCTCAGCCCTGTTTTAAACCGAAACCGTTGCTGAAAAATTCACGGCAATGGCTCTGATACCATGTTGAAAGAATATTTCGAATTTCTTTTTATTGTGTGTTATATTTTCAATCTCTACATTTCTCGTGAATCGCTATCTAATCCACTATATTCGGTAGCACAAGCATTGTTTTTCCATATATGGAAAGAAATCTAAATAGATAAACCTAAATTTAGGACACAAGATTGTTCCAATATAGGAAGAAATCTAAATAGGAATAAACCTAAATTAGGAAAGACAATAAACCTAAACTAGGAAAGACAATATTGACTTTAATTATAAAGATTTCAACAGTTTATGGGCCTAAAACTGGTGAAGTTTTTTCCAAAATCAGTTTTAGGCCCTTAAAAACTATATTACGAGTAGCACAAGTCGGAGATAAAATGAAATAAAGACATCTGAGATGGTCTGGTCATTGTCATATCTTAAGCAGACCCTCAGGTGTCCTAGTTCGTAAAAGACAACAGATAAAAATGTGAATCTCAAGCCATTTTCCTAATAAAAGCTAATAACTTTTGTCTGAATAGTTCATTTTGGTTTGCCATATTAACTTCTCTACATTTTCTCATCTTAGGGTACCTCAGTGGTTCAGCTTCTTTCCGGGACTGTCTTGGATGATCTTGGTGCTGCTTATGTATCAGCTGTGGAAAATTTTGAGAGGACCGCAACGTCTGTCTCTATGGAGCTTGGAGTTGGTGCTTCTTCAGCAGAAACTTCTATTCCAGATGCTTCTGCTGCTGTTTCTGCAGGTAATTGTTCTTCATTTCATGCAAATAAATGAATAGAAGGTGATCATCTTGATTTGCTTGGCGAACTTATTGTCACACAGGAAGAGGAGATAGCTTTCTTCTCATCAACCTTTGTCTGCTGTCTATATTCATCTTTAGTTCCTTATCAGCATTTACTTTGCGGTACAGGTCAGTTGGTTTCTTCCCAATCCACCATAACTTCATTTGCGGGCCCTATTACAAGTCACCTAGCTGGTAAAGCATCAGAAGAGAAAGAGGGACGGATTCCTGCCCCCAAAACAAATATTGAAACTCGTAAAACAGGTAGGAAGTTGGTGAGGCCCCGGCTTGTTAAACCTGATGAGCCTCAGGGTGATGTTGAGATGTCAGAGGTTGATGGATCTAACACCATTGGGAAGCCTGCACCATCTCATGAATCAGAATCTCAGCGCAATCTCACCTTATTGCCTCAACCCTCTGCCCGCAAACGTCAAGCTTCATCTGCTTCTGAATTGAACGAGCAGCCCCTTAATCAAGGGGAGCCCGGTTCCAATGTTCGGGCACCTGTGCAGAAAAGACCCAAAGGTTCCAATTCTTCACATGAGGGTACTGAAAATTTAGCTGCTAGCCCTTCAGAAAGTCCTGTGATTCCAGCAGCAGTGGAGGAAGCTTTGAATTCTAGTGGTGATGTAACTCAAGGTTCAAACGGGGAAGGTATTGCTGAGAAGGAAGATGTTGAGACTAGTGCGGAGAAAGGTGAGTCACCAAAGGAGTTGGAGCAATTAGATGAGCTAATTGAATCACAGAATGAGAAGAATGATGTGGGAGAAGAGAATTTGGATAAGGCAAGTGGAAGTGGGATGGAGTTGGATGGTAGTTCAAAGGATCAGGCTGTAGAAGACAACCCACAATCTGTAATGGAATTTGAGGGTGAGAAGGAAGAGGGAGAGCTGGTGCCTGATGTTGCAGAAGGTGAGGAAGGTGGTGATGTGTCTAACATGATGGCAAGTCCAGAAATAGGGGAGGTACTAGCAGCGGAGGTTGGCACTACTCCTGTGGCTTCACCAGCTAGGATTGATGAAGATGCTGGCATAGTTGGTGCAGGGTTGGAGTTGGGCGAGATTAATTCTCCCGAGGTAGTAGTCAATGAAGAGAAGAATGATGAAGGGGATTTAGCTGAGGAGGCTGTTGAAAGTTCTGATAAATCAACTGATGCTCAGATTGCAGTTGAGACCGATCCAATTCCTGAAACTGCTTCAGTCACAGTTGAGAATGCAGCAGCAGCAGCAAATGTGAGCACTGAAGTTGATACCATGAAGCAAGTAGCTGAGGGTGAAGACGTCAAACAAGCATCACCTGCAAGTAATACCTCAACCGTTGTGAATTTAGCAGAAAGAGCTAAGGAAAGGGCTATGCTTAGACAGTCTGGAGCTACAGTGCTCTCTCCTTCAGGCAGTAGGGGTCGCGGTCGAGCAGTCCGTGTTCGAGGTGGACGTATTTTACGCGGTGGACGAGCTGGACCTGGACGTGGGCATACTACTGGCCCACAGGGTTAAAGCTTTTTCTGTACAATTATTAACACTATACTGCATATGTGTTCAAAATTGTGATGGAATTTTTTTTTTTTTTTTTTTTTTTCTGTACAATTTAACACTATATCCTGCATATGTGTTCAAAATGTGATGGAATTTTTTTTTTTTTTTTTTTTTTCCATATATTTTTTTTTTTTTTTTTTTTTTTTCCATATGCTTTGTAAGTTATATATCACACCCTTACAATCTTGAGTTAATCTTTATGCTGATGAGACTTTGGATTTGGTTATAGTGTTAACGTTTTCAACCCATACGAGTTGGATCATTTCCCTGATTTACACAGCCTAGATAGATGTGCTACTTATTTGACTTGTTAAGGAGTTGTCATGGAAGCATAAAATTTTACTGTAATCAATCCTCAAAATCAATGTTTGACATAATAATGTAATATCCGATTGCAAAGAAACTTGTAGAAGTTTCAAATCATTAATAGCGCAACAGATGAAACAAGTTAGCTATTTGCGAACTATTTAGGCTAGGTTTGATAAAAGGTTTGCGCTGCTTGATTTTTAAAGGGTTGATTTAATTTAATAAACAAACTCGTTTATAAGGCTTGCGAATAGGTTCACAAATAAGCTGGTGAAAATGTTTGTTTATTAAGTTTATGAGCTAATTTGTTTATACTTGTGATATAATTTTTGTTTAGTAATTAAAAACCTACACGAGATTAAAAAAAAATATGAATTTATGATTAATAATATGTTACATTAGAGATCTTATCAAAATTAAATAGTTCTAAATTAGATATAATCAAATCCTATATATAGTTATTCATATATAATTTTTTACTGTGAATTATAAGGGCCTATAAACTTTTCTGAACAAATCTTGTGACCGCTTGAGCTTTAAAATAATGTAATCCCTTAAATTTCACATTGTAACCTTGTAGTGTATTTGTAGCCTCTCAAAGTTGATTCAGTTTTCAATCTCTAAGGTGTTAGATTATTATAAAATATAAAATTCATAATGCCATAGGTTCAAAAAATGAAGTCTAAGAGCACAAAGTAATTGTCAATGTTTATGGGCTGAAAGGTTTTTTTGAAAGTTCATGGTTAAATATGTAAGATTTTCTAGCAGCAGATCCAGTTGAAGACAATGAACAGTGGGAGATTGATTTTCCCCGATGAACATGAGTTTGATAGAAAAGAAAGGAAGGAAGCTCTACTTTGATGGTTTAGCTCATAGCACGACAGCCGGAGTAGGCGTTTTACAAGAATCCTCGCAAGGAGAGGTTATCCCGATATTGAAAAGATTACAGTTTGCAGTCATGAACAACATGGCAAAATATGAAGCCTGCCTATTTGGGTTAGAAGCTCTGATTGCAATTAAAACTGAAGAAGTTGAGGTTATTAGTAGTTCTAAACTGGTCATCGAGCATGCTAACGGCAATTGGAAAGTCAAAGAGGATAGGCTGAAGCCTTACATTGACCATCTGCGCATTGTTGTCCAAAACTTCAAAAGGTAACCTTCATACATACAAGTAGAGTAAACAACTGAGTACCACCTTGGGGAATTTAGCGTCAGCTTAGGAAGAGATTTCGGTAATACCTAAAAAACCATTTATGATGTCTTCGGGTAACTTCCCGTATTATGAAGGCGAAAAGATTATGGATATGGAGGAGGAAGAGAAACCGAGGTTTTATGATGTCCTGCAGTGGATGACTCAAAGGGTATATACCCAGATTCAGCTACTAGAGATGACAGAAGAGCTATACAACATTTTGCATTACAATTTGCATTCTTAGATGGTCAGTTGTACAAAAGAATATCAGACGGGGTATTGTTAAGATGTGTGTCAAAGAAAGAAGCTGAAGGGATTATGGAACATATCCATGCAGGAGTTTTGTGGCACCCACATGAACGGAAATATGGCAGCATGTATTGGGAGGTGTGCCATCAATGAAGGGATTATGGAACATATCCATGCAGGAGTTTTGTGGCACCCACATGAACGGAAATATGGCAGCATGTATTGGGAGGTGTGCCATCAACTCTGTACAAGAAAATCAAGTTTTCCTTCAATAGAGAAACCATTACCATTCTTGCCGCCACTAAAAAGAGCATTGTCACTCTTAATCTAGACAAATAGGTCTTCCTACCTTGGACTGGTTTCCAAGTGGTCATGTGAAGATGCATCTTTTGGAGACAGGGAAAAGTGGACATAGATTTATTTTATTTACAAAATTCAGTTTTCTTTTTATTAAACCTATTTAGCATCTTCAAGTAGACGATCTTATTTTGAAAATGAGATTTTTGGAAAAGCAACTGTTATGGAACAGCCTGCGCACTAAGAGGATGAGCATGAGATTTTCAATCCAATTATTCTGCCTTAAGGGCCTTTAACTAGATCACGAGCCAAGAAGATTCAACAAGCGTTAATTTGTCATCTGCAAGATTTGGTGAATTTGGCTTGTAATGGGTTGCAGGGAATCCAAGGCTTGGAAACAAGATCAAATAAAGTTAATTACAACTTAATTCAAGTCCTTAAGTTTGTTTTTAGATCTTAGCCTTGTTAATTGAGTGAAATTAAATATGTTTGTATTTTTGTCATAATGGCTTTTTAAAAGCCATTTAGTTTTATTACTTTGATAATGGGTTGTCCAAACTTGTTTATGTTAAAGCCCATAAGTTGGGTTTTTTTATTTTAGATTATGGGTTTTTAGATCTTGTAAAGGCTATATAAAGGCCTAACACGAATTTCTCTAGGATGGATTATTGAATAATGACCAAAAGGATGTTTGCTTTTATCTTTGTGTTCTTGAGTAACCAAAAGGATTGTTTGCTTTTATCTTTGTGTTCTTGTAGTACGCGAAAATACATGCTAAGGAACATTCAAGTTGGACTGATCATCTTTCTTGTGGAGTGTTTCGAATCTGGACAATTTTAGATACAAAGTTTCTCTCTCATTCTAAGATTTCTGATCATCTTTCTAAAGCTCAATCTGAATTCTAGCCTTTCTTAGAGGTTGAGAATTTCTTTTGGATTTTTTGCACAAAAACAAGCTATTTGGAATTTTATCTTTGTGTTCTTGAGTAGAATACATGCTAAGGAACATTCAAGTGGACTGATCATCTTCTTGTGGAGTGTTTCGAATCTGGAATTAGAAACAAGTTTCTTTTATTCTAGATCTTTGATCATCCTTCTAAGCAATCTGAATTCTAGCCTTTCTTAGAGGTTGAGAATTTCTTTTGGATTTTGCACAAAACAAGCTATTTGAATTGTTCTAAAAGTGTGATTTACCTAAGAATGTAAAAGAAATTAGCTAGAGTGGTGTGAGAAAAGCAGTGAGCAAAATAAATTAATTGGTGAAACGCGAAAGACCAACCCCATCTTTTGAGTGTAAACACGTGAGGGAGTGTTGTGAGGTCCTTATATAATTTTTTTTGTTTTGTTATTTTCTAACCTTTTATTGCAGCAATGTCCGAGCAAGGTCAAGGTAGTGGAGTTGTCCATGTTGATGCGGTTAGATTGCGTGAGGCTCAACAAGCTGAATTTACACATTTATAACGCACTGTGGAGAATGTGATAGAAACATTAGAGCATATGGATTTAAGGTTGCAAGCTATTAAAAGAGCCACACCGGAGCATAGTAATGAGAGGCAAAGAGGTGGTAGAAATCAAATACCTCAAGCTGATAATTTGGATGATGAATACGAGTTTGAGGATGATAATGCAACTCTTGTTGGAGGAGTTATACCTAGAGGAGGTCGTGGTGCTGGTAGAGGTAGAGGAAGGATGTATGATAATGCATTCTATGGTAGAAACTGTGGTGATGATGACTTTGTAGATAGGAACTTAGGAAACATTAATTGAAAATTCCTAATTTTTGAGGTAAATTAGATCCGGAGGCTTATTTGCAATGGGAAAAGCAGGTTGAGCTTATCTTTGGTTGCCATCAATTTAGTGAAGAAAAGAAAGTCAAGCTTGCCATTACTCAATTTTCAGATTATGCTATAGCTTGGTAGGACTAATTGGTGACTAATAGAACAAGGAATTTGGAGTATCCAATTGGGACTTAGCATGATCTTAAGTCTATCATGAGAAAGAGATTTGTGCCTAGACATTTTCATAGAGAACTTGTGCAAAGACTTCAGGTTCTTAAAAAAGGTAGTAGAAGTGTTGATGACTACTACAAAGAGATGGAAATGATCACGACTAAAGCTAATATAGATGAAGATATGGCTATTGGGGTATTGTGGGGTCCGTAATAATCAAAGGGTTTCTTAGGCTTATTGTTGGAGGTTCCGTATCAGCGCCCTTTACATTGGTAAGGACCTTATTTTTAGAGTCACCACTCTCTTTAGGAAAAATTCTCGAATTGATCATTTCTTTGAAAATGACCAATCCGATTTTAACCAAAGTCTAGGTAAGAAAGTTGGGTACGGTCACGGGAAGCAGTGAGATGATAAAATGATTTTTAATGCATTTTTCAAAATATGGCAAACATAAACATTAGTAACCAATCAAAGCATGACACTAAAATCATCCAAAGAAAGGAGAGGAGAAAAGAGTTATAAACCAATGACCATTAAAGTAACAAGTTCAGAGGTGAATTTATGTATTTAGCCTATCCACAAAGCATATTGAAAAACATCAAATGTATATAAATATATTTTGTGAAGCTATCAACATCCGATGTATATAAACATATTTTGTGAAGCTATAAGAATCATCATAGGCCGAATTATCACATATGAAGGATAAAGATCAATAATGCCCATCTTGAACTTCGCTAAAAGCTTTAGAGGACAAACATTAAGTGCGAAGCCACCATCAATCATGACATTAGTAATAACATAACCCCTTATTTCTGTCTTAATAAACAGTGCGTTAGTGTGATTCCTCCCCTCGAGGGGTAGATCATCATCTAAAAAGGTGATGGTTAAAGATTTGTGTCTTTCCAAGGTCACAAAATCACTGGTTGAAATAGAGATTGAAATGAGAATCTCTACCATGGCTCTAAGTAGTGCCTCTCTATGCTTTTTAGAAGAAATAAGCAAATCCCACATGTTGACATTTGCATGAGTCCTCTTCAGTTGTTTAATC